CGCCCCCTGCCGCCGGCGGCTCGCCGCTTACTTTAATGCTGCGCGGAGCCCGCGCGCCCCGGGGCGCCCAGCTTCCCGCCCCCTGCCCATCCCACGGGGACTCTCGGCGGGGGAGTCCCCCGGCCCGACGTGGTGGCGCCGTCACCACTGCTGGCCCCGGCACGTCACAAATCCAGGGAGAGGCCGGCCGCTCCCCACTCCCCCTAGAGAGGCGCGCGAGCCCTGTGGCGGGGGAGAAACCCGGCTTTCTCCTTCCGACTCATTCTTATTTTCACTTTTTGTTGCAGCGGGATTCTGTTTAATTCACACACACACACACACACACACACACACACACACACACACACACACACGAACAGGTCGTCCTGTCATTTATATACCCGGGAAACCGCTCTTTTCCTGTATCTCTAAAGGTTTGAGGCTCTTTGCCGAGCTAGGTAGGTTTTGTTTAAGTCTGAAGTCTGTAAAGCATATGACGTTTAGGCCGACCTTACCCCGGGTAAAGTACCAAGAAGGCGTGGTTGAGGGGGAGGAGGCCAGGTTCCCGGGTTGCCAGTTCTAGTTTGGGGATTCAGGTCCATGCACAAGAAACCACTGCAAGGCAAAACCAAACTGCAGAATGTTGTAGTTGAAGGGTCATATTGTGTGGTGTGGACTCAAGGCGTCAGAAGACAGGAGAATCAAGACAACGGTTTCAGTACAGAGCTCCCCCCCACCCCAAGAGTTAAAAGGGCTCCTCTAGGTTTCGTTTCCATTTTCTCTCCAGTTTTGAGATCTGTACCGCTGCCTGACACGTGGTCTTGGGAATGAGCATCAACATTTTTACAGTCAGGAAACACAGCTTCACGTTTCTAAACAACTGTAACTGAAGGTTTGCATGCTAAGAACGACTCGCACATCACTGTCCTCAAGCCTAAACTGACTCATCTGACTGTCAAGTGAACTTTTTAGAAGCTGTAAATTGCGAGGGAGGAGAATGACTCAGAGAGGGTAGTGGAATCGAACTGGCTGTCTTTGGGTTAGAAGCACAGTTCTTTAGCCACAGGCCACCAGTCTCTTGTACACCAAGTGGAGTCCACATTCTTGATTCTTCCTTCCACAGGCTCTTTGCCTTTGGAGTCTATGCCCTTCTCCAGCTGTTGAAAGTACTTCATTTCCAACTTCCTGTGGATGACTAGTTATTGAATCCCACCCATGACAACCCCATAGATTTTTAAGACCTTTTATATATTTTTTAAGTAGACTCTTTTTGTTTTGGTATATGGGGTCATGGGGGTGTTTATGTGTTTGGGCATTTTTCCCCCCTAGATGCCTCTGAGTACATTCAAACGGCCAATCTTCTGGTTAAAGACATTATCCAGGGTCTCCCAGGATCAAAGCTGGGTCCTCCACTTCCTCAGGCTGTGAAGTTCTCTGGTGACACACCTGGTGTCTGTCACCAACCCCTAGAGACTAGCAGGTAGACAAAGGAAATTGCAGCTGAGATGGTAATCCAAATTTAGACACAATATATTCAGTCAGTTGGTAAATAACTCGCAGTCAACTCAAGGACGATGGAAGAAAAATCAAGGCCTTTGAGCTCTGGTGCTGAAGAAAAGCACTGAATATGCCCTGGAATGCCAAAAAACCACACCCAGTATGTTTGGGAGGAAGTGTGACCAAGGTGCCCCTTTCAGCAAAGATGGTGGAAGTTCACCTCACATATTTCAGGCATGTTGTCAGGAAGGGCTAGTCGTTGGAAGAAGACATCCTACTGGGAAAGGAGGAGTGTTGCAGACCGAGGGTCCCAAAGAATAGAATACTTTTATAATAAAGAGACAAACAGCCAGGAATGAGATAGAGCAGAGAGCGTAAAACAGGGGGTCAGCAGTTCTCGACTGAAG